AATATCACAAGAAGGGAGAAGTTAGGCTCTCCAGTCTTTTTGTCTCACTAAAGCTATTGAACCTTCCTACCACGACAGTGTCTCTTTGTGCGTTTTCTTGGTAGAATACAAGAGGGGTTTACTTATAGAATACAAGAGGGGTTTACTATTATCCAATATAAACACCTGTTTGGTTTAACTGGATAACTGGGATTATTTTTATGCCGTGCTGATGCTACTGGGAATTCATACATCTAGTATACACTCCCAAAATTCTTGCTCAAACCTCCCAGGCATATTTCTCTGCCATGATGAGGTAGTAAATGAGGACTGGGGAGGGAGGTAAATTGGAGGAAGAAAGATTAATAATCTGCACATACTAATGATGCTACTTTGACAGATGAAAATGCAAATAATGTCCAAGCCCTAGTCAAGAAAGTCATGAGCACAATTAAAAATGGGACTATGATTACATATAAAGAACAAATTAATGAAAACAGGTACAACAGACAGCCTTAATTGACAGTGAAGATACTGAAGTTATACATAGAATCTGATTACATAGTAACAATCAACAAAAATAAATTAGCAGTCAAAAATACATTGCAGAATAGTACTTAGTAGAGCAGCAATTAAGATATTGGGAAGTATAATCAGATGCTGGGATTTGTCTATACCTGCAAAGGTCAGAATTGCACAAAGGACCAGTTTAAAGTTACCATATTTTGGATATATTATGTAAATATCTTGAAAAATATGTAATGCTGGAAAAGATAGAAGGAAAGAAGAAGGATGATCAATAGCAAGACTAATGGGCTGCATTACAGCAATAAGTGCATCCATAGACGACTTGAATGGCCAAGTTGGAGATAGACGTTTCTTTAGAAATATTGGTTGCTAAGAATTGACACTGACTTAATGATACATCAATCATATCAGTGAGAAAAAACAGGCAGGAGCTCTCTGTAGGGAAACCCTTGCTGTTAAAGCTAAATCAGGAGGGGAAAAACTAAAAGTAATCCACAACGGAGATGAGAGTTAATAGGATTCTGCATTAATCATTGCAACAAACCTATTAAGGCATTCCAAAATTTCTTCCAAACTGGAAGAAAACAGTGGAAAACCACTTCTGTGTTTCTGCCAATAAAACTTTTTTGATGTAGCTGGATTGAGATCTCAGGTGATGAGACACAGAAGAGCTCCTCTATTACTAGAAAAAAACTCTAAACTTCCAAAAATTGATCTAGAAATGATGACGTACCCAACTATAAGAAAATCTGGTCACTAATTATGCTAATAGCGAAAAGTTTTTCAATTTTACAAGGAAACTTAAAAACAAAGCAAGGGGAAGCATGAGCAAGAAAAGGTTATGTTGTCAAAGCAGGAATAGGTAAACATAAGTAGACCGGAATTTGGCACTCTAATTAAATGCCAAATTAAATGATTCAGGCATGAAACCATATGAAGGAACAAAGTGGTAACAATCAAACAAGATACTAGGTCATAACTAATGACTACCATGAGTTATTTGTAAAAAATAATAAAGGTGGGAAATGAATGAATGAATGACTGATTGACTGATCAACCAACCAGCTTGATACACCTGATGGACGAAAACTTTGAGGAATCATGTGGCTAATTGCAAGAGTTCCTAGACGCACTATAAAGAAAAGGCACTGATATTACTGGTGATTTTAAGGCAAATGGGTGATGTGGAAGAACCTGAAATGACTTAAATAATTGGACTGAATAAATCCAATAATGTACAAATACATAAAGAGAAGACAATCCAATTGGCAACACCTTCAAGACTGCCAATAAACACTGGGTATTACTAAATATATACAATATCAGAATCTAGTAGATTATGTAGTAGAAAACAAAAGATAGATAAATGCGCTCCAGTCATCCAGTACACTACCAGGAGCAGATTGTGGAATAGACTATATTAAATAAATGGATTAAGTTTAGAAAGCTAAAAGAGTAAATATGCCAATAAAATGAGATCTAGATGCCATGCAATCAAAATATAAATACAGAGTACAGAATAACAGTCCAAAGGGCCCTTGGATGTCTACTAGTCCGGACCCCTGCTCAAGCATGATACCTTATACCATTCGTGGACAAATGGCTCTCCAATCCTTTCTTAAAAACCTCCAGTGAAGGACCATCCACAACTTTTGGGGGCGAGCGTTCCCACTGGTTAATTGTTCTTGCTATCAGAAAATTCTTCTTAGTTCTAGGTTGGATCTCTCCTTGATAATTTTCCATAATTCCAGTCCTGCCCTCAGGTACTTTGAAGAATAGGTTGACCCCCTTTTTTGTGTGATCACCTGACATCTCAATCCAGCCTCATCCAGAAAGTGAAATATGAAACTAAAGCTGAGGAACTATGACAAGAGTGAGACACATGAGAAACTTAAAGTGGAAAAAGAATATTCTCAAAATGAAAAGATTCAGAATGAGTTATCCTAATTGCCTTTAGCAAGAAAAAGTGTATATATTAACTGAACATACTTCTGAATATCACGTTCTGGTATCAAGCTATAAAAGACAAAAAAAACCCTATTAAATAAAAATGTCAGCTAATAGAGAAAAATAAAATGACCAATACTTTTAAGGTAAGACTATTGGAGAAACCACAGGAAAACATGCATTTTAGTTAGGAATACTCAAGAATAATTGTGGAAAAATCCAATAGAGAAAAATGTGATCAAAGAATAATGAAACAACTGTACTCAAGCTGTTTATGGACAGTATTATAGGATGACAAAAAGATAATATGTTCAGAAAGCTATTCACCAAAAAGTGAAGAACAATAGTGGTCAGGTAGGAAAGCAAGATTTAAAGTATACTTTAAAATGATTGAAAACTATAGGTAAAATGCTAAATTATTATGGTTTCTTTCAACACAGACATTATATGGCCTAGAGAAAGAAAAAGGTTACAGTTTATACATATAGCAGAGAATGTGCAAATTGCTGAACTACAAATTCTTATGCAAACAAGCATCTTAGAAAGGAGCCATATAGGGACAGATAAATCCCAAATGAATAAGCAGGTTTCAGAAAAAGCAGAGGGCCCCAAGAACAGATAGCTAATATAAGATGATCTATTCTTGTTTATAAAGTAATATAAAAAGATGAGTTATCTTTGATTTGTTAACTACAGCAAAGCTTGTAGTTAATATCAGAATAAGTTAATAGATGTCAGAAAAAATATAATAATTTTTGGAAAGACCTTATAATATATAAGAAAGTACTGTAGGAACAGAATTTGAAAGGGTTCAGAATTGCAAAGCAAGCAAGAATCACTTCCAACAATTTATTTAGCAAGAGGCTGAAACATCAATTTAAGTTGTGTTGATAACCCTACTTTATTTGCCAAAAGAAGACGTCACCTTAAAGAGCTCATTGTGAAAGCAAAAGTGGGGAAAGCAATACCTGACTTTGTCTTAAAATATTAGGAAGCACTAATGCTTAGTGGATGTACAGTGGATGACAAAAAGTGAAGTTGGTGGATAATTTTATTTTCTTGGGCTCAGAATAAGATAAAGGTGGACAACCTGCCAGAGAAGGGATATTCTGGAAGGAATGTCAATGATAAATTTAAGCAAGATCATGAAGGATGTTCCCAAAGATTGAAGAAAAATCTCATGATAATATACTATCATGAAAGCCAGGCAATAAGTAAAACTCATAGAAAGAAGTTAAATGCCTTCTAGAGATGGTCCATATAAGAACAACAGACTGCAAGAAGAACTAAGTAATAAATCCTGGGACAAATGAAGGCTGATTGTTCCCCTCAGGCAGTGACTAGTAGGCAGAAATTCAGACCATTTGGATATGAGATGCAAACAGATGAACATAAAATAAAACCATGCTTAGAAAAAGGGAAAGGGAGTGGCGGAGGATAACCAATAAGGTGTATGGATGGTGTAAAAACAACCTTCAGGACACATTTGTAGTAGTACTTGGATCTGAAACCAGGTCAGAGGTGAGCATTTGTCTGTGTTCTCCAAGAAGCAAACCCAATTTGATGTATCACCTAATGCTCCAGCTTAATTAAAGTGTTAATCACAGTAAAAGCACACAGGTGTGGACAAGTAAAGAATTTTGGTTTTAAAGAATTTTGTTTTTTTGCAATATAGCATATGCTTTAGTACACTGCAAAAATGATAATTATACCACATACATACAGAGTAAATGCATTATTTATTCAGAAATGAATACCAGTTGTTGATTTTATAAACTTCCTATCTAAATTGCACAGGATGGTCTAAATCTTAGTTGCCATGAAAGCTTTATAATATCTTAGGCATTTTCCATTAATTTACTTCCCAGTAAATCAGGAATCCTATTCCTCTTCATAGAATATGCCCTCTGGAACAGCATCTCCCATAAAGCCCTTCTCCTGACAGGGTTTAAAGTCTTTCTTCTCCAGGGCTTGAGCCCAAATGTGTAAAAAAAAAACCTTCCTACTACAGTATAAGATTTTGAATGAAATTATTTTGAATGAATGATTTTGAATTGATTTTTTTTCTTCTTCTAGATGTGCATTGGTCCTCTCTCTGTTTATAGTATTATTTGTTGTTTTTAATGCTACCCGTCACTCAGAGTTTTTATAGAGTCAGGGACCTTATAAATGTGGCGACTCAATGAGTTAATAAGTGCACAGTCTTGATGCACTGTACTCAGTTCAAGGGCTGTATACAGCTTCCAAGAAACCCATTAGGTTTGGAAATCTGAATTAAATACAGGTGGATTTTGCCTATTAAACTTTTCCCAATTGAAAACCTGCCCAGTAGAAGGTGGCTTGGATGAGACCAAAAGAGCCAGGCATGAAGAGCTGTGCTGACAGGGGCGAATAGCAGCCAGCGCATCTCGCTCTATCCCTAGAAAGTGGATGGGGTGGGTGGCTAAGGGAACGGCGTCGATCCTCTGCGAACGAAGCCAGTGGCGAGGCGGGCTCCTTCCCAACCACCTCCCGGCTCTTCCTCTCGGAGCGAAGGTCCTTCTTACCTTAATGTTACAGAAGACCTTGCCCGGGCAAGTGTTGAGCCTCGGAGGCTTATCCTCGGTTGCCGAAGCTTTGCTGTTTTCGGACTGAAGCCCCATTATCTGTTCAGACTGCCGAAGCGCCCGCACCACCTCGCCTTGAGTCCGCGCTGTGAGTCCGTTGAAATCGCAACAGCAATCGAATCCCGCGCTCGCTTTGATTCTCCCTTTCCATGAGCCCCTATGGAAAGAGCGGGAGCGGCACTTCTTATAAGCCTGCCCTACGCTCCCAAGTGTCGAGGATACGTGGCTTTCCCCTCCCTCTTTCCTCGGCTACGTAAAAGCGGTCCGGTTCCCGGCGGCTACTCTAGAGAAGCAGGTGTGGGGTTCCAGTTCGGCTCTAGCTGGGGACTTTTGGTAACCCCGCCCGACCTCCCGCTTTGTTTGGCTTTACTTGCAGAGCGTAGGAAGTTGGACGGATCCTATTCGGAACGTCAGCAAATTCTTCGCCTCCGAGTCCCAACTTCAAATCCGCCGAAAGGAGATACTGTGGGGGGGGGCGGGGGGGGCGTCCCTTTCAGTGTCCTGGAAGCGCGCTCACTCTGCGCGCACCTTTCCTGCAGTTTCCGGCTGTTTCGCCAACATACGCATCTCAATATGCTGTTCATATTTACTTCAGCCCTGCTTAGTTCAGCGAGGCTTCTTTATGAACAGAGTCATAGATAAGGCAGCGCGCGGCCTGAGGGGGTTTGGGGAGGGGGGCTGAAAGCGCGCGTTACCGTCCAAGTAGCCCGCGCACATTCCCCACTTCTTTCCCCTCAGTGCCTCGGTTGGTAAGATTTCAGTCTGCGACCTGTGACCCGTTGGGCTTTGTTTGCAAACGGCCCAACAGGGGCACTCTCGCTGGTTGGGGATTTACGCAAAAGTATTGATTGAAGCCGCTTTTACGCAACGCTTCCAAACGACAAGAGACACAAAAAAGAGAAGTGTCAAAATCACATGAGCCGTGTGGCTTTCGGAGGTTCCCAGTCCCTGTCGAGGAAGGCGACCTGCGTATTCTTACAAATCGTAGAAAATGTCTTGCAATATTTCCCTTTGGCACAGATTTCATGGCTTTTGCAACAACAGAGTGTTATTTATTCGTTCGTTTAGACTTAGGAATTTCTAAATGCTGTTTAATATTTAATGGACACATGATACCTATAGATAGTCTGAAGCGCCGTTTTTGTCATTGCTTTTTTTGTTTAATTTATCGTTGCTCTTTCTTTTTTATGTGTCTTGTTTTTTATTTTGTGGGGTTTTTTTGTAAAATTTGTACACGTTTTTAAATCTTAACAATCCAACAGCTTATAAAGAGAGAAAGCCTTTTGTGCTTTACTAAAATATAGAACCCATTTTCTAAGCCAGGGGTCAGCAACCTGTGGCTCTGGAGCTGCATGTGGCTTTTTCATCCCTCTGCTGGGGATCCCTGTTGCTGGTCAGCTCCACAATTGATAGGGCTTTTGGTTAGGACAGGTAGAGGAAAAAGGACGCCGTGCTAGGAGGAGACTATGATGTGGAAATCGGACTTCAGGTCGGCTCCAGAATTGAACAGAGGCTTCTGGTTACGACCTTTGTTTGCTCTTTGAGTGTTTAAGGTTGCCGACCCTGTTCTAAACTAATGTAATTTGAAACTAGTTTGCTGAATTTACAGGGCAGATTAATTTATCTGACTCTGGAGTTTAGGTCAGTGTTTCTCATGCAGGCGGGGGAATTCTGGGAATTGCAGTTCACATATTTTAAAGTTGCAGAGGTTGACAAACACAGCAGCTGATAAGTACCTGTATGAATGAAGCAGATCAATTAAATATTATCCACTTTTACCTCAGTGTATCTGGGACCTAGGCTTACACTGTAGACCCAGGCCTTATTTCAGCTGAATGAGATAATGGGAAGGATTGATTTATTTCAGACAAAAGCTACGAATCAACAACCAAAAACAACTTTCTTTTTATACTATTTTAAACTTTTAGGAAGTTGGACTATGTTAAAACAAAAGTATTTTTAGTTAAGTACACCCACATGCACCTCCTAGCATTTTATCATAATTTCCGTTATGCTTCTTTCTATTCACTGTAGTCACATCCACTTTCTGTAGTCTTCGTAAGCACGTTCTGTTCTATAGGTCATCCTTTACTAAGAAGAAGTCTACATGAGACATAGAATAGAAAGAACAGAATTCTTTATTGGCCAAATGTGATTGGAGACCCAAGGAATTTGTCTCCAGTGCATAAGCTCTCAGTGTACATACAAGTAACAAGTGATAAATCATCAAATATTTTACAATTGTTGACAACCTTAAATACTAATGTAAACAGGCTTACAGACTATCAAATTGACTGGGCCAAATGAAGTCAGGCATGCTTTGTTGCTTGTTTGGTCTAAGGGGTTCTGTACAGAATGTCAAGATGGGATTTGCAAATGGAAAAAAAAGGAATGGAGTAAAATCCCCTCCCCGCTACTATAGGGATACACCCATTTGATTCTAGCCTTTTAAGTTTTTAACTTCTATTACTTAATAGAAAACAGCACCATAATCTTAAAAAGTAAGTTTCACTGGTGAACATCATTTCTGAAATGTGCATTGCAGACATGATGTCCCTGTCTTATGTTTTAGTGATTCTGTTTTAATTTTTTTAACTCGGTCACCGAGAATCAGTCAGTGTGCAAGTTTAATAAATAACAACAACAGCACCTATTATTATTTCTTCCTTGAAATAGAGCACCACCCATGGAAATTCAGAGTAGGATCCAAAGTAATAAATTTTCCCTAATGAAACCAAGGAACAAATTAGTTCAAACTCAGCAGAAGTTAATGAGAACAAACTACTTTTAGATACCCTATAATTGCTTCCCTGCTTCTTTTTCTCCCATTCTCCCCTCCCTTGACTCTCCCATCCTGGTAATAAAACACAATTGAAACTGTCTCCCATTCAAATCCATTCCTTATCCTGGATAGGATTGAGAAATAGTTATGTCATACACAGTGCTCTGTGTGCTTCTTCAATTTAAAATAAAACCCCATCCTTTCAATCTTTCAAAAGGCTGAAACCTGATTCTTAAGGAAGATGATGAAATGATGCAAGGCACGTTGTCTTTATCAGGAAGATACAAGCAAGCAAGAATTTTCAACAGTGACAAGGCCACCACACTCACGGTTTCACTTAAACCTGCAGAACAGTCCTTGCCCATCCACTTGTGCTGCTGCTGAACTGGAGGTTAAGAGTTCAGCTGTTCAACCTCAACAACATTATGGGAACACTAATGCTAAGGAGAGTTTCTATAGTGTTTTCAACCTGGTTGTGACAGGGTAGTTCAGGGCTGTCAAACTCCCGGTCCGCAGGCCAGATGCGTCATATGCTGGTCATGCCCGGGTTAGCGAAGAGGGAAAAAAGTCCTGATACGTCACGTGACACCACTGTGACGCCGTGAGTTTGACATCCCCTGGGACAGTTGAATGAAAACATACACACACACCTATAGGAAAAGAAGCACACTGATGCATTTGGCATTACGTTTATGATATGCTTCACCATGGTTTATTAAATAATTTGTTCATGTAACACCTTCAACCAATATCCATGGTTTATTTATTTATTAATTAGATTTTACTTTGCACAACCCCAGCAACTTTAGGTGGCTCACTTATAAAATCAGAGGAAATAACATTGATATAATAAAAACAAACAATGTAACAAAAGATGGCACAAAGGGGACACAACTAGAGCAACCCACATCCAGGAAGGGGCTTTGATTACCCTCACCAAATGCATAAGAGGCACAATAGCTGAGCTCACATACTGTATTGTAAGATTTATGATGACTACCTGTCCAATTGAACAAGTGAGTCTTGCAAATTGTCAGGGATATAAAGCAACTGTTGCCTGGATCTGATTATTTTCCTATACCCTTTTCCTTTGTCATCAGTATTTTAACTGGGAAGCTATTCTTGTAAACCATATCAAATATTTTTTCAAAAACTAGATCTAGGTATGTGGGCTGTAAAATCTGGATGATTATTGGTAATAATCTGTAATAATCTGGATGCGGTGGTCACCTAAAGAGGTATGGAAAGCTCTAATCCCCTGCTCCATACTGGAATCCAAATTAAAGCAGGGCTGTCACAGGGCTGTCTTAATCCATGGGCCTGATGGGCACTTGCCCGTGGGTCCCACAAGCATAGGAGCCCCATACTAATGTCTGTATGTTAACCCTTCAATCTACCTTGTATCATATAAATACAGCAACATATTTATTACATTTTACTTTTATTGCATTTTTTATTAATACTAACATGCAAATATATGTTTAATTTTAGTGATCATTTACATTTTTATTCCTGTGAGTAGTTGTCATAGGGGCCCCAGTACACTGCTTTGCCTGGGGCCCATAATGCTGTTAAGACGGCCCTGGCTGCCCAGACTCTTAATGGACAGTCAAAATCTGCCTTACTAAATCCTTTATTTCATTATATCTGTGTAACGTCTTCTCAGAAATTTGAAGGGTATCATATCCTGCCTCAGTTGCACCACTTGCAGAATATAGCAAAGTGCTTTAAAAATAGATTTCAAAAACTTGAATTTCAACCCTTTCAAGAGAAATAATGATTTGTAGGGACCCTAAGCTGCAATGAACCGAGTTAACCTTCCAGTTTTGCAGGCCAGTGCATGCAAGGCAAGAATTTTGTAGGGAAGTCACAGAGTGTCCCATAGAAACCATGAAGGTTTCACATGCTTTATACTATCATTATATAATTTGCATCAGTTACATGATGCAAATGGCATAACATTCATAATTTGTATCATTTGTGCAACAGTAAAATCACTTATTCCTCTTCTTTTCTTTGGGATGTTCATGGAGAAACCCAATAGATTCAAATTATGGCATTTGTGTGCCATAATTGGACTTACTTTCTGCTGGAATTCAGGAAACACCTATTTTATTTTTAAAAAAATAACTTTGATTTTTCAATTAAAAAAACTAACAAAAACAATGTCTAAAGTAGAAAAAGAAAGAAATAAAGAATGAAAAAGAAAGCAAAGCAAAGAAAAAGAAATGCAAAAAAGTGACTTCTGACTTTCTTTATAGTAAATGTAAGTATAAATTCACATTAAACTCTTACTTTACAATACAATTTCCATTTTTCTGTTATCTAGCATTTTTCTAATCATCAAATCCATGTCATAATTTTATTTTTTTTTAAATTTCATCCCAAAAATCCAAAAGGGGTTTCCACTCAGCATTAACATTAATCAGTCTTCTTTAATTAAAGTTATCAAAAACACATTTTCTAAAGAAGATATAACATGAAGGTACACATGTAGACACAGAAATCCTGTTAGATTCAGCAGTGCTTTGAATTTCAGCTTTGAAAGTAGGAGTAAGATACACACTGATTGCCCCCATACAGCATAAAGATGGCCTATCTGGAATGAAGTCTTTTAAAAATAATTTAATATAAATAATATATTTAGCAATAAGACT